ATTTAGGTAGAAAACAGACAGTAAAGCAGAAACTGTACCCCTCGGTATGTCTGATGGCCATAGCTGAAATGTTGCTTTCCCTGGTGAAACAGGAAACTTGCAGGGAGCAGTCAAATTTGCTTTTGTTGATCTATTTTCTCTCACTTGACTAAATGTGGACTAAATCTCAGAAGTAAAAAAACAAACTAGAGGAATATTTGAAATCCAGCACTCCTAAAACAGCCAGCCACCTACTTGATAATAGTACACCCCCTACAACATATAAAGTTTTTAACTGTGTCTGTACATGTTTCGGTTTGTTGAAATTATTTTAATACCTTAACAACACATGAGGAATTTTTAAAATAAATATTAGCATCTGTGCTAAATCAGCAGTCAGACTAAAAATAAGCTGAGTTCAGAAGGGCTCAGTTCTGTTTCCAGAGAGGACTTTTTTGTGATCTAAGATTTTATATAAGAAAATGATGAAGTAGTGATTTCAAACCACACCTTTTATAATATAGGATTAAAGACAAAGGTAAATCTACCAGTCAGTATTGATTAAGTTTATACAACCTACAGATGCACAAGTCCATGCAGATGAGTAGTCCTTCTGCCCTCCACTGGTCTCAAGCCCGAGCAGGAAGGTCTCCCCCTCCACGCCATGCCCAGAAATCTAACTCCAAAATCAGAGCTGGTTTCTTGTATCTCTCAGCAGAGGCTAGAAACCAACAGCTAGGGCACCTACTCTGTGTTGTTTCTGAGGGCGGCATCACGCACCCCTGCTCAGCTCAATAAATAAATAAATAAATAAATAAATAAATAAATAAATAAATAAATAAAAATTTACATGCCTAGGAAAGTTACCCTTAGCCTTGAGGCTTTTTGGAAATTTCAAGATGGTTGTCTACTCAAAGTTTAGTTTCAACAAGAAGCAAATTCAAGTGCAAATCCAGACTCCGATGAAGGTCTTACAGGAATATGTTAATACAGCTGTATTTTTAAAAGCTAACTAGCCCTTTAAGAGACTTGGATTAAAAAATTAAAAGTTCCTAAAATATTCTGTTTGTAAGCAAGTGCAATAAGAAGAATAAGTTTTCTGCCTAACTGAGCTCTTGGAGCCTTCTCTTTCTTTCAGCTACTCCCTATTATTTTGCTTGTTGTCCTATTAGACATATCATAGTCACACAGATGTGGTACTAATCACAGGGCAGAACATGCCAGCTGCCTAGGAGGATACAGCTACTCTGACATTATCCCATCAGGCACCCAGCAGTGATTTAGGAGATATAGCCATTTAGCTGGTCCACATTTAAAGAAACAGGTGCCATGTGGGCATGCTGGGAAATCCTTTCTAATGCTCCCTCCTTGATGTTTCACAGTTAAAAGTCAAAAAAAAAAAAGTAATGCCTATCATTTTGCATAGGTAAAAAATGCTGAGGGTTTCAGTGGGAGTCTTGCTTGTTGAAGATAATTACAGCTTAGCATATTACTCTAGTGAAAACATATTTCTGTACAGAAAACTAAAGATATTTGGGGTTCACCAACTGCACTTTACATTTCAGATTTGATTTAGTCTGAGATGTACATTTGAAGCTAGTTCTTCCCCAAAGGCTGGATACAGATAAAGAGGCACAAAAATTCTTCTCTTGAAAGTATTCCCAACAACCTTTGCACAACAAAAGATCAATGATATCATAGGCTTTAGGAACCACAAGACTGCTATATAGCATGCTATATACTCAGAAGAACAGTAAGAACAATACATTATCACAGTTTTCTAGTGTTTTGTTATTGTTGTTGCTGTTGCTGTTCTTGTTTTGTCATGAAGAATTAAGAACTCAGCTAGATCTTCTAGTGCCTTTCTTTGCTTGTACAACATATTAATTGTACAATGTTATTGTGATATTTATTTTTTTATATATATATTATTGTGAATTGTGATATTCCTCCCCCCATAGGTGGAGGAACCCCCGGTGGAGCAGGTGGATGTGGCCTGGAGGAGGCTGCGGCCCATGGAGAGCCCCCGCAGGAGCAGGCCCCAGGCCAGAGCTGCAGCCCGTGGAGAGGAGCCCACGCAGGAGCAGGGGGTCTAGGGGGAGCTGCCGCCCATGGGGGACCCGTGCTGGAGCAGTTTGCTCCTGGGGGATGGATGGACCCCATGGTTTGGAGCTGTGTGGGAGCAGTGCTTGAAGAGATGAAGGGGACTGACTGTAGCCCCCATTCCCCCTTCCCCATTTCTGTAGAGCCGGGTAGAACGTAGATGAGTCAAGAGTGAAGTTGAACCTGGGAAGATCAGGGAGGAGGAGGACAAATGTGTTTTTAGTTTGTTTCTTACTCTGTTGTTAAGTGAGAAAGAATTAATCTGCCCAGTGCTGAGTCTGTGTTGTTTGTGATGGTAACTGGTAAAATCTCACTGCCCTTATCTAGGCCCATGAGCTCTTCCTTTCTATTTTCTTCTCCTATCCTGTTGAGCAAGTAGAGTGGGAGAGCAGCTGGGTGCACAACTAGCAGTCAGACAAGGACAAACTCCCACAACAATAAAGATACTTAAGTGTTTATTGACTTATGATGTTTTCCTATATATCAGATTATGTTTTTCTACATAAGAGTGTATATCAGAAAACACATGAATCAAGGGAGGAGAAGGGGGACACACAGCAGGAGGCAAATACACTGAAGAGACTGTGAAATTCCTCTGGTCCAACATATAAAAAAAAGCAAACAAGGCTGCACACCATACAGCATGGCTAGGGCCTGTCCTGGAGCTGTCATACCTGAAAGGGGTCATAGAATGAGAGAATGGCTCAGGTTGGAAGGAATCTTAAAGATTACCTAGTTCCAACCCCTTGCCATAGGCAGGGATGCCACCCACCAGATCAGGTTGTCCAAGGCTTTGTCCAGCCTGGTATTGAGCACCTCCAGGGATGGGACCTCCACAACTTCTCTTGGCAACCTGTTCCAGTGCCTTACTACCCTTACAGTAAAGAATTTCTTCCTACCCTCTAATCTAAATCTATCCTCTTTTAGTTAAGAACACTTCCCCTTGTCCTATCATTATCTAGACAAGTAAAGAGTCCCTTACCCTCTTTTTTATAAGAGCCCTTTAAGTACTGAAAGACTGCAATGAGGTCTCCCCAGAGCTTTCTCTTCTTCAGGCTGAACATCACTAGCTCTCTCAGCCTTTCTCCATGGGAGAGGTGCTCCGGCCCCTTGATCACCTTTGTGGCCCTCCTTTGGACCTGCTCTAACAGTCCCACATCTTCTTCTTCTGGGGGCCCCAGACCTGTAAGCAGGACTCCAAGTTGGGCCTCACAAGAGCAGAGCAGAGGGCGACAATCCCCACCCTTGCCCTGCTGGCCTCGCCTCTGTTGATGCAACCCAGAATGCAGTTGGCCTTCTGGGCTGCAAGCATACACTGCTGGCTTGTGTTGTGCTTTTCATCCACCAGAACCCCCAGGTCCTTCTCTGCAGGGCTGGTCTCAATGAGTTCTTCTCCCAGTCTGTACTCATGTCTGAGGTTGCCCCAACTCAGGTGCAGCACCTTACACTTTGACTTTTTGAACCTTGTGAGGTTCACATGGGCCCACTTACCTAGTCGCAGGGAAGCTGTCCTGGCTCAGGCTGTCATCCTGCATAAATACGAGCCATAGAGATGATGAGGAGCCATGAGGCACACCAAAATCAGGCACAAGAAATATGACCTCCAGACTTTCTTCCAAAATAGGCAAAAATGGTGACCTGCACCTTTGCCGCAGGTGCGGATCCTAAATGCAGTCCTGCACCAAATGAGACATGGTCTTCTTCAGCTGGGACAGAGATGGCTACAATGGGCTCCAAAGCAGCATGCCAGCCCCACTGCCTCACTCCCCACGTCCAGCTCAGCAAACACAAATACTTTCTCCTCACACTCTTCACCTCCTCATGTTCTCCCTCTTGACACCTGACGTTTCCAGCACAAACTGGAGCAAGGTGGGACAGTGCCAGCTACACCTGGCAGAAGGCATCAGGAGGATCATAAATCTCCTCACTGCCCCGACAAACCCAGCCCATGCCACCTGAAAGCCCACCCTCCTGCTTCCCCTCTCCTCCCTTTCCCTCAATGACAGGCTCAGCACAGGGGTGGAAATGGCCAGGGGCAGGGTGAGGCACAAAAGCCAGTCACCGGGTGCCCGGCCTAAAGGGACATGAAGATGTCAGGTTGCAGCCATGCTGCACATGCCAAAGCCAAAAATACAGGCAACCTTTTAGCAGACTGTATCACAGGAAACTGCAAGGCCATGGATTTTAACCATTTTGGGGACTACGTGGAAGCTGAAAAGGAATTACAAAGATTACCAGAAAGTTACATTTAGAAGTCAGAAGTGACAGAAACATGCATGAAGTCCTATGGTTGAGTTATCACTGCTCACTTGTCTTAGCTTCTATTATACCAGAAATGCAATCAAATATGGGTCACACCCCATGCAAAGTGAGTCCATGATTCTCAGTGGACCCTTGTACCTGAACGATGCACCATATAGCAAGATACGCCACTTCACATTCCTGCCTGCAGCACTCTCTGAGCAGGACTGGGGCCTTTGTCTTTGCTCCTGAGGTTGCAGAGAAGCTCTGAGGGTCTCCTAAAATGCAGCCCTGTGCAGCCTTGAGAAGGCAAGTAATTTTTCCTCGCTCAGGCCCTCTACTTATGCTTTCTTGTGTATCAGTTGCTCCTTTCAGCCCCACAGCCCCTTGTAATGCCAGTGATAGTGCACGCATGAGCAGCTATCCCAAAGGCATGCAAGAAATTCAAAGGATGAAGTCTAAACTTCCTCTCCCTTCTGTGATTCTCATGTTGTGTGTTCAGCAATTCCACAAGCCTCCCTTCCACCCTTAAATATTAACACAGCTATTCTCTTGCTGTGGGATTTCTCATTATCATGCGAATAAATGATTAAAACCACCATACAGAGCAAGTGCAACTTTTATAACTATATGAATCAGCACCGTGCCAAACCCTTAAAGAATAGTAAGTGTCTAAGTATTTATTGCACTTTATTGCTTCCTGGAGCATTTAAAAGGAGTTGCTAACAAACAACCATTTACACAGGCTTAAAAGTTTTCCTTGGATGTACTGAGCCATTCTGCATTTCAAAATGCAGACTTTCTTGCTTTCCCAGCAACTTAATGCTAGGTCTTTGACAAAAAACTTCACGGATTGTCCGGCAAATGCTACTATTTGCAGTGGTACATCCTGTGTGTTACCAGAAGATGATTTTAACCGTTCTTTGAGCGTAACTTTAAGTACTGTTCTGACGATCATGCTGGCTTTGGTGATGTTCTCCATGGGTTGCAATGTGGATATTAAAAAATTCTGGAACCACATAAAAAGGCCCTGGGGTATTTTTGTGGGTTTCCTCTGTCAGTTTGGAATTATGCCTCTCACAGCTTTCTTGCTGTCACTGGCCTTTAACGTGCTTCCTATTCAAGCTGTCGTGGTGCTAATCATGGGATGCTGTCCAGGAGGCACAGCCTCCAATATCATCGCTTACTGGGTGGATGGTGACATGGACCTAAGGTAAGAGCAGCTGTTATCTAAATATTCATGTGTCTTTTTATATTGTAAGCTTTGTATTGAAAAGGTCTCTCTGTTTTTTTCTTGTCTTGGTCCATGTATAGTGCAGCTTCCTTCTTGTAGAGATGCTTAGTTAGTATAATAGTAGTAAATACAAGCAGACTAGAATTATCCTTAGTTCTTGAGCATTTGTTAGGAAGACAGCATAATAGAATTGTGTATATTAGAAATTGTCTATTGTAAATCCTCAGATCCTGAAGAAAATAGCATTGAGAAAGACCTCTAAAATACTAGGATCATAAACTCTCTATCCAAGTTAGCATATATTTGTGATTTTGTTTCTCCAAGATCTTGGGCAGTAGGAAAAAATAACAGTGAATTTTAGAACTTGAGTCCTGTGTACAAAAGAGCAGCTATGCAATCGTTTCTTTCAAATAATGTTTCTTGAAAGAAACGACCTGCAGAAAAATATTTTCCCTCCGTTTGTGTTCTGCGCAATGAATAGATGGGCACAGTTTTTCTCCTTGGAAGCTAGTACAAATGAAAATCACTTGCAGTAATTCTATCTGCTCCTGGCACCTTCTGCAAAGTCTTCAAACAGAAAATTTTACATGCTACAAGCTACTGGCCAACAAAGTCCTCCACACTGGGTGCTATGAAAAAGCTCCTTTGTGGCTAAGTGTGTTGGTCTCAGTGCTTTATGAGTTCAGATGCTCTGAACTCATAAACAGATATGTAGGGCACCTTGCGTGGTCTTGGATATCAAACACACTGCAGAAGTCAAACCTACTCTTGATGCAAATTCCATGGGGGGTTCATTAACTCATAGTTTTTAAAAATAAGCCATCGTTTTTCTTTTCATATCCTGATTACTCTGCTCTAAAATAAACAGGATCATTTCTCTATTTCCCACAGAGTAACATAAATTGGGGCATTCATTCAATTTATCATATGCCAGTCTGAACTAGAAATGGAAAAAAAAATAGAAGGAAGAAAGTTGTGGAGCTAGGGCAAATTGACTAAGTATTTTAATATTTGTGGCTTTAATAAGACATTTTTTCCATCATTTGAAAACAGTGAACTTTTCTGTCACATACAGGTGTTAATGTAATACCTGCTTTCAAATTATGTATGAAGTCAGCTCTGCTAATCACCAGCATCCTCACTGTGGAGGAAAAACCTATATTAGACACTTTATTTCTATAAATGAAAGTCTGAGAAACCTCAGATGGAAAGACATCCAACACAAGTCTTAAATTCTGTCCTAATCTTTCATTGGAAGAATACACTGAACTAAACTGTGCTTTCTCAGGTTTATATAGTCAGAATCCAAACTGATGATTCTATAAATATGAGTAGAATTTATATCCTGTGACAGTGGCAGAGGGTAAGGTAAATTGAAAATACTTACTAAAGATTATTCTTCAGGTAAAGACCTTTACCTTAAGATTTCAAGGGCTTTTGATAAGGACCTTTGTGACAGTAATTCAAGGACAGAGGAAACAGGAGGTACAGCAGAGAGAGCAATGCAAGTATCTTCAGTTCTTGATAGAACAGTAAAAGTAGCTTGACTGGTTTCTGGAGCCAGCACAGCATTATAGAAAGCCTGCCCATCACATCAGATAAAGTTTTGCTTTTAACTGATATTTTATGTTTATACATAACAAAACATCACCATTGTCTACTGTCCTGCTTCAAAACTTCAAAACTTCAGTGCAATTATACCACAAGTTAGAGCAGGATTAATTTTCTACTATTCATATAGTGAATCACAGGGAAGTAAACTCTGAGGTTTTATACCTTTCTTAGTTGCTCAGACCCAGATGATGTCCTCTAAAACTTCCCATAAGGACACCCGTTTTTGACATCTCTTGGTATTTCACAAGAATGACCACTTTGAATCACCATTTTCTCTCCACAGCTCCCATGAGAGCTGCTGCAAGCACAGGGGCTGGAGTTAGACTGTCTTTGGAAAAGGATGTAGACATAGCAACTGTAGGAATATGTGCCGTCACAGTAAACTTGAGCTCTTTTATCCATTTGGAGCTTTATCTAATCTTAATTGTAGCCCATAGATCTTTCCTCTTTGTGTGTAAGAACTCCCTTGCCAGAGGCGTCTACCAAGTTACATCCAACAGCAGAGAAACAGAGTCACAGAAAACAAAACTAACACAGATATTTCTGTGGTTTCTGTATGAATTCTTCCAGATTTCTCTGGATGTTCCCAGTTTGTGGGACATGATCTGTAGCTCTTTTTCTGAGCTACACCAAAGAGCAATCAGAAGTGAGGCTCATAAGCAAGTTTCCAAAATCTCCTAAGTAAACCTCTCTCACATTTTTTACCTCATAGGAGAGTGATTTGTAGGCATCCTTTTATCTATGCTACTCAGAATCTGACAGTTTTCTCCCTTTTTAGCTGTCTTGCTTTTTCCTCCTTAATTCTTCTAGTTGAATGCACACTTTTCTACAAGGTATATCATGCCCAATGGATTCAAGGCTTTGTGTTTTAAAACAGAAATGTCTTGCACAAGCCGAGGAAGAAACAGTGCTTACACTCAGCTTCGTAGAGTAATTCTCAGCACCTACTCTTTGGCCTAGGGCAAAACAAGCCAGAAAAGGGAATTTTATTACATTGCACTTACCAGATGAAGAATCTTTTTTGTTTGTTTGCTTTATGTTGCTGGCTTTGGAGTGAAATTCTAAAATACTCTAGAACTATTGATAAAATGGAAAGCAGCATCTGACCCAGCTTGACACCCTCTCAGAAGCCAGTGGGACAGTCACCATGCAGACAGACTTGTGAACAGACCTTCCTGATGGCTGCCAGCCTGACTGCCTCATTTGCACTGAAACTTATTGTTCTGTGTCTGCAGAACATGTTGATATTTATGGATTTTTTCCTACCTTTTTTATTTTTTTAGCAGAAGCCATTCCTTCCATTTAGCTTTTTTTTCTTACTTGATATATCAATAAATTGACCATAGCCAGCAGTATCTCTTGCCCATCATTTCAGAAGCTGTTAAATCATAATAAGATAATGAAAGAAGTACATTCTATCATGAGACAAACTATCACTTTAACCAATTTCTTTGCAGCATCAGCATGACAACTTGCTCCACATTGCTTGCAATGGGGATGATGCCACTCTGTCTCTTTGTTTATACCAAGATGTGGACTGATTCTGATGCAATTGTACTCCCCTACAACAGCATTGGTGAGCCAAGTGAACCAGCACTTTACCTTCTGACTCTCCTTTACCCTCCTTCTAGTAACAACTCCCTTTATATCTGCACCATCCTGCAGAGTCACAAAGAAATTACCCCGGATTTTTAAAAAATATTTATTTTCCAACTTTCCAATGACTTCAGTGAGAATTATGTACCTAGATCATTTCAGGTCATCCACAACTCTGTGGAACAAAGACTTTAAGTCATTATGAATATGGTACAGATATTTATCACAAGGTTGCACATGCTTTTCTTTTTAAATGGTTTGGAAACCTCTGTAGTACTGGGATAAGAATATAGAATAATTCATACAAAAATAACTTCTTTCCCTGGATGAAAGCATTTGTAACAGCTTTAAGGCACAATCCTGCAAAGTGCTAAATGCTGAGGCCATAATTTGGCAAAGTACTTAAGCACATGTGGATAATTAAGCAAGTGATTAAAACTGCTGAGTCTCATTGAAAAGCTGCAATCTACACCACCAGGAGTGGCTTCATTTGACTTCCTGTCAAAAATCTCATCTAGCTACAAAGAGAAAGTAGTCAAAGTATTTAGAGATACATGTTCCACTGCTTCGCAGAACTGTGGCTCTGGTGCTTATCAAGTTTTGTTCCATGTTGTGGTAATCTTAAAAAGCCAGCAGAGTCACTTTCATATTCTTCAATTTAATTTCCCATTGTCCTTAAAATAAAAAAAAAAAAAAAAAAAAAAACAGCATGTATATTGATTGTGCTTTCAAAAAAAAAAAAAAAGCATACCAAAGGGGGAAGGCCAGAACAAAAGACGCTCTAAACTGGTTGTTGATATGGTACAGTAGCGAAACACCTGCAGACAAAATGAACATTTAATATAGCTACTCATCACAGGATAGTGGTGATTAGCACACTCAAATTTCTGTCTGCCTTTTTGATTCAGGTGAATGAGCATGTAGCTCAGCAGAATGGCAATTACTTCAACAGGTTGCCAAAGATAACAGACTCTATAGAAAAGCAAACAGGCAGGTGTGGGGAGAGTGTTCATGTGCTGGGGTGTGCATACCAGAAACATCCCCCCCAGGCTTGCTCCATAATCTCAGCCCCTCCACATGGTGCCTGTTCTCCCCTCATGAACTTCTGCATGATATGTGGGCTTATCTTTTTTCTTTTTTTTTTTTTACAGGACTTTCACTGGTAGCTCTCATAATTCCTGTTTCAGTAGGAGTGTATGTTAACCACAGATGGCCTACGAAAGCAAAACTCATACTTAAGGTAGGATATATAAGGCTGAAGCATTGGTAATTATAGACAAATTATGGAATCAGTGGCACCACTGAAGCAGCACATTGCTATTCATAGTATTAGTGTCTGACTTTATAAGAGCCTTGAAGTTTTCAGCAGAAAACAAATGAGACACTGTGGAAAAATATTGCTTTCCCCCTGCACAAATGTGCATGAGTTGCATACATTATTAGAAGCTATCATCATCTAAAGAGCCTGCTTTTGTCTTTGGCTAGAACTATGTTCGTAATTGAGTTCAGTTTATAATGTAAACTGAAAATAGGAAGGAAAATCATCCAGGTCAAATGGATTCTTTTTCCTGCAAAATAATAAAAAAATGAAAACATTCTGGATTATACAAAAATATTTCTACTTTTAAACCAGTGTATCATTTTTGGCAATTTTGAGTGTGAAGTCAATTTAAATATGCATATATATATATATATATATGTTGAAAATGTGCCAACAGCTAAGAAATCTAACAAAACTATTTACAAAATTCAACTTTATTTGCAAGATAGTTTCAGAAGCATCAAAACTGTGTTTTGGCAAAAACAATTCCCACCAAAATAATACTTATAATAACTTATCTACCTTTACTGTTAATAGAAAATTAATCATCCTGACCATTGCCCTGCTAAGTTCAAAGTGATTCTTAGACGTGCTGAGTACCCTTGGCCTTCACTGCCCACCCTTAGTTAATAAATATATTTTCTAAGTTTTCTTAAGCAAAACTAACCTGGCAACTGGTTATTCTACCTGAGCTATCAGTTCAAAAAATATAGAACACAAATAAGGTCCTTTTAAGTCCAATTAATTTATTTGAAATATTATCTTGCATTCACAGCTTACTCATGAACATGGATACAATTAAGCGCTGGTTTCAAAACTATCCTTTATAGTCAGTTAAGAGAAAAACATGGAGCTGAATGCTCATGAGAAGGTGCTCTTTCAGCAAACCACCATTTCATCCTCGTTCATAACGAGTGTTTGAGCAACTCACAGTAGAGTTCATTGCCAGTTCACTTGATGTAGGATACTGAAACATCAAGTGAGGATTGAGCCATAGCTGTCAGATGAAGGTACAGATGGTGAGAAATTGAGATAAGAGCACAAAGACAGTTTGCCAAGTGAAACAGAAGAGCTTGTTGTGGCCAGGCCATGTTTCTTTTTCCTAGGTGCATGTGGTTAATAGCTCAGTCAAACAAAAGTACTTGCTCACTCAGTGCCCTTAAACAGACTTCAGCCAGACACTGATGAAGTCAGTTCACTGAGAATACACATTTTATCTGAGGAAAGGATTTCTCCTAAGCTTAACCACAGAAATCTGCTGGTGAGATCTCTTGCAACATATGCCACAAAGGAAGACATTTCACTTAAATACTGAGAAGAGAGTGAGTTATTCCTTTCTTTAGCAAGCAGCAGTGAGGATCTCAGTATATTCAGTTAGAGCAAATAAGATCAACTCATTGACTATGTCTACGTAGAAACACATGATCTCACAGCCAGTTTTCAAACACAATATTTTCAGCCACATTAAAGATTTACTCTGCTTTGCAAATAATTTCCTAGCACTAACAACCTGGCATCTAGTTAGCAAACACGACACAATGCCAGAAAGTGTGACTGCTCAGGAAGTGGGGAGGAAAAGTGCATTATACTAGTTATTAAGCTGATGGTTTCCCAATAACTCTGGGAAAGGTCTAACCTTCTTTATGTCACACATGTTAGATTGTTTTTAATGTTGAGTTTTATGCACAACTACAGCCAAAGCTTCAAGATTAGTTTTACAGATATATGTTATGGATACCTATAATAGCTGTGCTTTGATCTGTATCTGTAGTCACACATTCAAGTGCATTGTACAACTCCATTTTGGGGAAAACAGCACCTATATAATGTGCCTAACATGAATTATGTCAGTAAATGTAAAAGTATGTCAGTTTTATGTTTGATAAGACATCTTTTATTCACACAGTTCTTCTTTCTCCTCACAGGTTGGTTCCATAGTGGGAGCGATCCTTATCGTGCTCACTGCTGTCGTTGGGGGAATACTCTATAAAGGCTCCTGGATTATCTCACCTAAATTATGGATCATTGGTACCATATTTCCAGCAGCTGGCTATTCTCTGGGATTCCTTCTGGCCCGCGTTGCTGGTCTGTCTTGGAACAGGTATAGATTTCTCTGTGAAATAGTCCTATAGTCTTATTTCTGTGAAGGCAGTTCTTTTTTAATGAATAATCAATTCTGAGAATACTTCCTAAATGGTAGCTCTGCTACAGGGTCACTTACTCACCAACCTTTTTGTAAATAAAACTATTAATGTGCATGAACATTTTAAAATATGGATTCTGACTACTATTTCCCCCAATATGTCATTCCCATATGTGCCCATGTCCTGCACTTCAAAGGAGGTGGACAAAAGAGACCTAACTAACAAAAGGGTTGGGGCTGTGGTAAAACTTCACGTGAAGAATCAACAACCCACAATTTAGAACATAATTGCAGAAGAGGGTGATAATAAGTATTACTGAATATGACATACATGCCTTGAAGGGGGATAACAGTCCTCTGCAATTTCTGAACTGCCATAAATTGTATGTGCTCTGGTTGTAAAAGCTGTATGATTTGTGAGCTGAAGGATATCAATTTCTCACTTACCTGTTACTGTGTGGTTCCTTCTTTTCCAGATTCTTAATAAAACATAGAGACACACAGGCTGTTATTTCATGACTGTCTTTGTATTCCCTTTAGATGTCGTACAGTGTCTCTGGAAACAGGCATGCAAAACACTCAATTATGTTCAACGATAGTACAGCTCTCCTTCAGTCCTGAACAACTTGAATTGATGTTTACATTCCCACTCATCTACAGCATTTTCCAACTGTTGTTTGCACTAATATTTTTAGCAGGTAAGGTATAGATATTTTCTATTATTATTATTGTGACCTGTCTCACTTTTAATGGATACAGAGAAAACAAGAATAGACAGCTGAGAGAGGAAAATAATGAAATGGTAAACAATAAACTTTATAATGACCCAAATGGCTACTGAACATCACCACTGTGCTGAGCCATGTACAGGAAAACGTAAGGATCAGTTTAAGATCTGGAAAACCCCTTGTTTTTCAGCACAAGGGAGGGATCTCCATTACCTACAACCAGAATAAGAACACCTTGAGCACAGGATTGTTTTTACCATTTGATGAGGAAGGGCAAATGTGTCTTCCATTAGAACCCTCTACCACTCCAGTATGCCTGGGCTTACAGCTGCACACCAGGACCATCTCCAAATGCATGCACAAACTCACCCTTCTATCAGGGGTTAAGAGCATAGGCATTAGCTTCACAGCTAATAGGAGGAAAAAAAATCTTCCATTAGAAGTAAAGGCCCCTTTTTTCTCCCACATGCACTTCATATGTGTTGCACTGCTACAACCTATTGAGGGTCAGGACTTTGCTCCTGTTGCTCCCACCGAAAACCAGCTGTGAATATTTAGCTTCCACTCTCAAACCAGCTGTCTTACCAGGCATCAAGAGCACTGCCCTAGGGACACAACCTGAGAGGTATACCCCCAGTTAGTGCCTCTGTAGCTGGCAATGGCATGAGGACAAACTTCTTTGCCCCACTTTGTCTCAGCTTCTGCCAAACAGGATTCATGCAAAGTAAGAATCAGTCCCACAGACCCAGCCAATTGCCCAAAGGCTTCCCAAGAGAGACAGACAGTACTTTAAAAGTTATTACATGCAGTAGGAACAGAAAGCAGTCAAGCATCAAAAGCGTAATTTAAAACATTTTCCTTGTTATTTCCTAAGCATACTTTTTTAGTGATGACTGCTGTTGACATACAATAATTAAATCTGTCTTTAAAGAAACTCTGTCTTGAAGCGTTTGAAAATTTTAGCGATATAAGGTGGGAAAATTTTGTATGTCTACATGCTACTAGAGTATTTTTCAGGTCATTGTTATATCTTTATTTAATATTAAATATATACCAATTCCCAGGGTACCGTGTTTACAGAAGATACCACGTCAAACCGAACACAGATGTTGAGAAAACAGAAGAAAAAGATGATTCAAAATCAATTTCATCACATGCTAAAGCAAATGGAGGTTTTGTATCAGATGAGACAAAATAGACAATCATCTCTCTGTTCCCATCAACTGAAAAGATATAAGATATATGGTTTACTTAAACTTCTTTTCAAATGCTGTTGCTTTAGGGAAATATTTAGCAAAAGAAGGAGTTCTATTGATATTGTACAGTGAGACTTTAAAATGATTAACTTATGAAAGATTTCTGCTTTGATTTTGAACATGGTTTCTGCCACAATTGTACAATCTATTTTGGAAGCTAATTTCCTAAAATATTTAATGTTTTATTATGGTTTATGTAAAGAAAGGCAGAATAAAGGTGGTCTATTGCTTAAAAAAAAAAAAAAAAAAAAAAAAAAAAAGCCTTACTGACTCAGGGCCATGATCCTGTTAAACTGTCTACTAGTCTCAGCCCCTCTAAGAGAAAACAAACAAAGAGAAATCTTGCAAAAGTGCCTGAGCAGCAACAGGAGTTGATGTGGGAGATTCGATGAGGCTATTGGAATTTCACTGAACATGAATCAACCATGAAATTGAAACAAGCTAGTAATGAAATAAAGTTTCATTTAGGTCAGTCTGGGCACACTAAAGTCATTGCACTGTACTAATTGCTTGAAGTGTTAATTTATTCTAATGCTATAAGTTTAACAACGCAAGGTACCTTCCAACTCCAGTTTTCTTGCATGAATTAATATAAAGCAACAGCTTTGCATCTTCAGTCTGAGTCTATTAGGTATTGGAAACATGAACAGAGAGACAAAGCTTAGGGCACAAGCCTAGAGCAGTTTCAGTGACAGCTGCGTATAAAGGCTGAGTTTGGGGAAATTTAAGAAATGAATGGCTTCTGCACAGAAAGGGAGGCATTTGAAAGTGGAATAAAATTGTCCCTGATTCATCCAGGTGTACATTCACCACTATAGAGACAAGATAACAGTGCTTGCAGACAGTCATCTATTTCTGTGATTCTATGAACTCAGTAAGTTTGAGGTTACCATGTGTGCATGACATTAAGACACTGATGTAGTTAATGACTGTGTTATTTTAATTATATAAAACACAGACAGAAATAATTGGATGGAAATATACATTATTTGTCTCCGAAAACTCAAGAGCATGTATGGAAAACTGTCCTAAGTGTGTGGAGAAAGTTAGCATAATTTTAAGAAAACTAGCACAGTAAATTTTTTCAGCTGTAATTTTTTGTGGATACATTCAGTAATATTAGTCCTGTAGCTCTTATGCAAAGAAAACATCGAGAGAACTTCAGATGAAATAAGTGAGAACTTGGCTGACCAAAAACTTCAAGAGTGAGCCAACTATCAACACATGGAAACTATACAACTCTTTGTCATATTCAAGTGGACCTTCTGAGGTGTTGTGAGTTAAAGTGGCAAGTTTTCTACAAACACAACTGAAATTGTGGAATTTAAGTTCCAGACGTGTAGCTTTCCACTGCTGCAGAAATGTGCCCAATATTAAACAAAAGATAAATTATTTTTATATACCATATGTGGTTGAAAGGGCCTTGAAATATTCCTGAGTTCTGAGAGGCTTGAAGCTGCTTTGCATTCGGGGGAGTTCAGAATGGTCATACCTCCAAGGAGGAGTTCAACACCTAGCAGGAGCTAGCACATAACTAGGTATGTTATGTTTCAGAGAATAAAGAATAAACAGAAAGTTGGAGTGAAGTCTACTATGGAGACTTTATGGAATTATAAATGTGAAACACCATGTTCACTGAGGAAAGGATAAGCTGCTATTTGTGACATCTGTGGTAAAAAGGCTAATGTCATTGTCCTGCTTCCACCTAAAAATGAGCAGCAGAGGTTATTTAGAATAGTGTCTGTCTGCATCAAGCTGCTCTTCTTTCCCTGTGCTAAACCCCAATATTTTAAGCGGATTTTGAAATTGTATTGAAGAATACTAGTTTGTCTTGCTTATACTATGTATGTGTATGTATTTAAAGCAACTGTATAAACACTGAACTGAATAAAGTCAGAAACTATTTATAATTTTGCCCACTGGAGTAATTTGTGGTGGAAAGAATTGAGACTGAATCCTAACAGGCAGACAAAGTTTATGCCTTTGAGATTTAACAAAAACACGTAAGATTATGTGTAAAATGAGTATGTTTAGTAATGATGAAGATTAAATGAATGTGTGACATCTGATGCCATATTTGATACATATTTTTTAATGTATATGTGCAATTAGTGCCCCAAATGAAGTCTGGAGGTTGCAGTTTTTGCAGCTATTACAATTAAACCTAGCTATGGTTGGACGTCCCAAGCTTTATATGAAGCAAAGCCAGCTCAAAGATTTTGACCAACATAGGACTGTAGAGCACACCAAACTTTTGTTTCAAAACCCCGTAACTTGCAAATATTGCCAGAGCTGGGGTTACATTGACATGACGGCTGCTAAATATCCAGCTGCAGGAGTCTGGGCAGTGTCAATGTTCATCATGGATGCAGCTGGGCTGGGCTATCTCACAAGCGCTTTGGGGGAGTTGTGTCCTCTCCCCGGAGGTCTCCAGAAAGATGTTATGTGCCTTTGGCTGTTAGCCATGCAAATGCTGAGGTGTGAACTTATCAGTTGAAGGAGGCTGGTGACCTCCAGCCTCACAGTTACGGCTTTCTTGGTAACATTAAAACAAAAAAAGCTTGCAGGGATCAGCTGGCTTAATCCACTCATGTCATCTTTTCTCACATCCTCCATTCCCTTTCAATGAAATACAGTATCTTCTCACAGGTAATTAGTGATAGGACTAGAGGGAATGGCCTCACATTGCACCTGGGGAGGTTTAGGTTGGAAGTTAGGAGACATTTCTTCTCAGAAAGAGCAGTCAGGCACTGCGACAGGTTGCCCAGGGAAGTGGTGGAGTCACCATCCCTGGGAGTGTTCAAGGAAAGATTGGACCTGGCGCTTAGGGACATGGTTTAGTGGGTGATATTGGTGGTAGGGGGATGGTTGGAACAGATAATATTGGAGGGCCTTTCCAACCTTAATGATCCTGTGATTTTATGATTTAGGCAACACTGCTTCTTGAGCAGTCTTCTATCTGTTTAAACAGCCTGTGGATGGGACATTGCAGGATGTGCAGTTTAGAAGCACAAAGCAATGACATACAGGCTAACAGATACTTGATCCAATTAACATTTACAAGTACTGGTAATTGTGTATTTACTAGTTCAGGCTAAAAAGTTACATTCATGCTTTGGCAGGTTCTAGGTTAATACAATGAGTCTACTTTTAGGTAGTCATTCGTGTCTTAATTCTGCTGCAGTTCTGTATCTCAAGCCAGTATGGGCAAAATGAACTGAAGTATATCTGAGGATAGGCATACCCTAAAAGTCAAAACAACAGCTGAATGAATTGTTTGTCTCATCCCAAGATCTGTGGTATAAGGGCTGCAATGATGCAACAATCACGCTTGCCTAACCAAACTCTGCATCCATAAGTCTGGAAATATCCTCTAGTCAGTGAAGACAAGGAAGCACCACCACAGTTAATCATGCCCTCTGTCCCACACAGAGGGTGGGTTGTTGTAGGATGGGTTGTCCACTGAAACTGTCTGTCTCTATCAAGTTGATTTAGATGGGCTGACTTACACCAAATGTGTCATTTTTTGACTACCAGATTTTGAAATGAAAAAAAAAAAAAAAAAAGTGACTGAAATTAAATATATCTTTTCATCATTTAGTTTTTCTTCATAAATTCTCTGAGCATCCAGTACTTTTCCTTTAACCAGGAAGAGAGGTCTTTATAAATGAATAAGTAAATAAATAAACTAGACACGAAAATATCTTTATTGTGATTTTAATCTCCTGTGAACATGCAACTAATTTTTCAGCTGACCAAAAGACAGGTAGAAGAACTAGCTCTGTCACATAGTGTGCTGCATTAGTCAGAAGAGAGTGCAATTTGAATAGGATTAAGAAGTAAATTGATTTGCAATTTATGTTAAATGAGTTTGTTACTTCAGACTAATCAGGTTAAAATGTTCAAGGAACACTATTATAAACTTTGCTAATCTGTATTATTTTTGACAGCCTCAGAAAGGACAAGTGAACTTATTTTTTTGTGGTACAATCAATTAACTTTTTGCACACTTGATGCAGACATAAAACAACAATCAGTGTTCCCTGTCTCTGAAAGCACAGACCTGCACTAGTCAGTATTTGACAGGAATGCTCCTGCTCTCTCCAGATTACCCATATCACTTGCTTACATCCAGAATTACAACTAGAGCAAAAGTACCAAAACCAAATTGCAGCTAAGCAAGTCTGACTAGATTTTCCAATGAAGGACTGATGAGCAGTACAAGCAAAACTGCCTGTTTGCTAAGAAATATCTATTCTTTTCCAGAAGCACCAATATCTGAGGTAAGCTGAACGCTAAATTAACTCAAAATATCAAATGAAAAACTGTTAATTGTCACAACATTTGCCAACCTTCAAACTGAAATGGTAGATGATGCATAATGAAAAGCCCTGAAGGAGTTTGTATATGTTTTCATGAATAGCTATGTGTTGTGGAACGATATTGCTATCTCAGTTTAGTTTCCATTAAATTTAACCATCTACAAGTAATTTTCCATTGTCAACCTTCATCCTTCCCTGAAAACATGAGTCAGTACTGTCAGTAGGAAAAGACAGGTGCCTGTGGAGAGCAAGCCATGAAACCCCTCAGGAACCTGGTTTAAGACAGAAGGATTCTGGAAGCAGACAAAGACATTATATAGAGTTGGCTGTGAAATTCAGTTGCCTGAACAAAGGCATCCAGTGCTATGTGAGTTGCCCTGGATTGTGCTGTCTGAATTTCAGCTGTCAGTTCAGAAACTCACAGGTCTTCTGTAGGTCCTGTGTCCTGCAGGACCTATCATGTCCCCACAGAACTTAAAGCGGCACCAGACACCTGATAAGGCACCTGAATCCTCCTTGTGACTTCTGTGAAAGCCAACATTATTTGAAGAGTTTCCCCTGACCTATACGAACCTCTCCACAGTCCAAAGAGGGTCAGTACTTCACATGAGATAATCGTAAGCTCATAAGAAGGCCCTTGCTGTCCCATGAGGCACCTCTCACAAGGCACAGAAGTTCATTTAATTGGCAGGTCAAATATTTCAGAAATCAGAGAAACAAACAAACAAATAAAAACAATGACAAGAAAACACACACACAAAACTGTTACTTTGAGTTGCCTCTTGGAACTGACCAAAGGCATGTCTCCTTAGTAAATTTCTCCCAGCCCTGCATCTTTGGACACACTTGCACAGGACTTTGAAAGGTCTTATGAATAAAATTCAGTGAGGACACTTGAAACTATGTCTATGTAAGCAAAGAATATATAAAAATGTATTAGTAATATCTCTACTTGCTCATAAAAGACTTAATCTAAAATGAATCAATACAAAACTTTATTACCAGTGATACTCAGAAGATCATAAATCCACCTCCTCACTCAAATAATTGGATTGATATAAAAACAGGTGACTTCAAAAATAATAAGTTCAAAGTAAGTTAAAAATAATAAGTTAAAATTAAGATCTTCATCTTTTGGATGTCAATTATATGGGGATTTAGCTATGTGGACTAGACTTTTGTCTCTCTTTATTGACATCAAGACTCAGATGAGAGATCTATTGCAATCACAGGAAACACCTTAAAACTCTAAAGAGAGGGAAAAGAAATCTCAGCACTGAAGAAAACTCTTATTGACCATAGCAGGGAGTTGGTCAATTGCTTTAAGTGTTGTATCTATCCCCCAGTTACTGTATATCTTCGATATTTTTGTGGAAATTTCTGTTCTAGGCAATCAGAACCTAGTTGCTTTTCCTTAGAGCACACACGGCTAGTGCACACTTTCTTATTCACTGCAATTGTTCCTGACCATGAGAAATATTTACAATCGCATACTTGGTGTTTCCATCTTACACAAATTTAACTCGCCTCATATTTTACAGTGGTAATTTAATTGCTTCAGATTTACTGATTAGATATGCTGATCAGATATCATTAAGGTAATCTGATGCATTCTTTTAAATATGACTGCAGACCTTCTGTCTCCTTCTTCTACAATGAGTTTATGTATTACTCATTTGGGGGATTTCATCATAGTTTTTAAAAGCCACTTTCCCCCATCTGAATTTCAAATAGATGTAAGGAGGTCATATTCAGATGGTAAGGCCCTGTTTAAATAATTCGATGGTACAATTAATTTCCCACAAGTGGAATTAACTACAGGGGATTAATGAAAATGTCAGGGTTACAGGTTGTGCTGGTGATGTGTTTCTAATGTCAGTAGTAAATCTGCTTGCTGTAGGTAGAACACAAATTCTTTCCACATAGTCTCTTTCTTTAAAAACATACTCTGAACTCATAAAATAACCCACCGCTGATATGGAACAATTTTCCATAAAAGTGCACTCACCAAGGAAACAGAGCAAAACACACAGTTTATGGAGGTGAAAGCATATTTCAGGTTTCAGAACATCCATTGACCAATTTAAAAATGGACAACATTCTTGCACAAAAAGTGGACTTACAAAATAGGTGAAGAAAAAATAATTAATGGACCATAAATTCATTGCTGGCAATTTAATATGATGCCTGAGGTACAAGTCTCAGCTTAGGAAGTCCTTAAATGGAAGTTTGCTGGAAGCTGTGGAGATATGTACCCATGTGTCTTACAACTTTCCTTCCAGCACCTGCTTCTGTCATCGCTAAGTTAACTGGAACTCTGCAGTTCCTGTGTTTGTTTTGCAATCACTTCCAGTAAGCACTAAATCTAAGGATAAGTACAATGTGTTTACAGATATCTTGCCTACTGAAAGGGAAGAAAAAATCACTGAGTCTGGAAGTAACAGCTGAGTAGAGGTACAGAACAGCATCTAGTGAAATGAATATTGTATTGGAGGAGTGACAGGAGAAAATTCAGAGAAAATTATTCGTTGAAGACATATCTCTCTGTCCACAGAAGGACCAGTCATCACCTTGATGGTCTTCTTTCC